AAATGGTTTTGTGATCAAATTTTGCTTGCGAGCGCTTTGTTCAGAAAGAACAAAGGTTTCTTTTTGCTGGGCGTTACGAGGAAATAATTTCATTGTACCAGTTATTTTAACTATTGAAAGGCTGCTGCTTGCCCATTGCCCCCTAAAATTAAACCTGCATTTAGGCATCATGCTGATGGTAGTTTCAAAAGCATATAAAATGTGTTTGCTTCATAAAAGCAGAAATAAGGACCATGTTCGAGGCTTGCACTTTTAAAAATTCTGGGCTACAATCAACATCAACTTCCTAGGAAAGCTCAGCCATGATAGCAAGGTCAATAAACAAAAGCAATAATTTTTCAAAACATCACAGTGTGCACCAATGGAAATGCAATGGTTTTTTCCTTCCTTGCCAGAGTTTTAAAGATTTAAGTCAAGCCTGGATGAAAAAACACTCGGGATTCCCACTCCTGGTGTCCTGCCCTCGTACTCCAGCCATGGCTTTAAGAGGATGCTGCCGAGGGCGCAGCCGAGCCGCGCTGCGCGGGTGAGCTCGGATCCAAATCACGGAATGACTCAAGCAGCCTACTTTGAACCGAGACACAAGTTTTCCGTACAGAATGAGGTCATCTCGGCGTTCACTGGAAAGTGAAAATTACATCATCGCAAGGTTGCTCTTCCTTACGTAAAAGGGTTGCAGCTGTTTTTCTCAGTAACTACCATCAGTTCTGCCCTTGGGCTGACGCTGAGGGTTATCTTAATTAAACATCGCCTCTTTCAGCCGGTCCAACCTCGGCTGGTACCTAACTTGGGTTGACCCCCATCCTCGAGGGCTGCCCAGGGCTGGGCTGGGCAGAGCCCCCGGCTTGGGGCTCGACCCTCAGCTTCCTCGCTTGTTGAGCCCATGTCAACTTAGCGAGCAAGAGCTCAGCTTTTTAACTCCACAGTACCCGTATGCGATTTGCAGCAATAATTTCAGCAAAAGAAGAGCAATGCCACCTCAGATGACATACCTTAGGTAATGCCAGCACGGGTCCAGATCGACGGGCTCCGTGTGCTGCCCTGGCACCTCGCAGCATCCACGGCCGGGGTGGAGGTGACGGACCAGCACCTGTTTTTCTGCAGGTTAGATGAAGCTTGGTTAAGAAGAAGAGCCCAAGAAGAGTCCCCGGTGCTCCTCGCAGCCCTCTGCCATGCTCAAGGACTACTCACTGCAACAAATAAAAAGCCCTGTTTAAAACAACTAAGTAAGGCACTTACTTAAAGAGGTTTTAAAAAAACTGATAACTAAACGTACTATACGGGATCGATCTTAATTAGTGCCCAGGTGGAATTTTTGTCTTCTGGCTTTTTTCAGTGAAAAAACCCCACCCACCCAAGCCAGCCATTAATGAGAACCGTTAAAGGCTCGCTAACAATATCCTTTCATCAACCCAAGGCGCTGCCAGCGCCCCGCGCTCACGTCAATTTTCACCTTGCGGTCCAGCTACCGCATCTCGCCCCGCCGGTGATGGAGCCCAGACCCATCGTCCACCGCTGCCGCCGGCTCCGGGCAGGCTGTGCCGCCCACCCGGCAGCTCCTCCGGCCCCCGGCCCCCGCTTTCGGCTGCCACCCGCACGTTACTTCACACGGGCCGGGGGCTGGTCTGGATCAGGGTCGGGGCGGGGGGAGAGCTCGCTCTCCATCGCTGCATCCCCCGGACCGGGGAGGAGTGAAATGGAGGTGGCTTCCCTCCCTCAACCTTCAGGCTGCAGCGATGGGGCCAAGAGTGCCCCTCCTTACTCCCCCTCTAATAATAACTTGGGGAGAAAAATGTGTTTTGAACATTGGGGGGGGGGCGGGGCAAAAAAAAAAAAAATTGGATTTGCTCCTCGCTAAAAATGGGGCGCCAGAAAAATAGCGATATTAAAAGCCAATCATCTGGAAATCCCAGACTTAAGGACAGGGAGAGATTAAAGGTTTTGCCAGGGCAGGTCTTCTGGAAAAAAAAAAAAAAAAGAAAAAAGAAAAAAAAAAGAGAAAAATCGGGAAAACCGCTCCTTTTTCAAGGCACAAATTAAGCGTATTTATTTGTTACTCATACCCTATGCATGCTATTTGAAACAAAAATAGCACACAGCCCTTTGACAAGCTGTATTTGCACATCAATGTAACTGAAATATCCTGTCGGCTTTAACGGCAAGTGAGGGTACTGTCAGTAATATTTTCCATTGTTTTTAAAGCCGGCCACAGTAGCACGGAGCAGAGGGTACAGCCACTCAGCAAGGGCAGGGGAGTTTGACAGAAAAGCCTTTGAACGATATTTCTATTCAATTTCTGAAAGAATATAAAAGGAATTACAATTAAATCTGTAAATGCAATTCTTTGAGGATTTTTACATTCCTATAAGATTCTTACTGAGAAATTACTCCTGAAATAGTACATAAATCTTACAGGACTCCCCTTGGATTACTGTGCTTTAAGATTTTAAGCAATCTTTCTAAAGGTTTCTTCTTTTATTGCATTCTTCTTTAAAGAAGCAGGTCTTCAGCACCACCTCACACAATAAATAAACATTTTAATACCCAGCCTATCCTTTGACCTGGGTGCAATACATACCATAAATACTACAATTTTAAACTTCAGTAGAACATTGGGGAAAAATGATTAAAAGTAACAATCTGTGATATTTCTAGAAGAAATGATGATCTGTGATGTTAAGAGAAACAAGTGTTTAAAATTACTGCTCCTTGTCTATAACTTAATATCATTTGGAAAGTGGTAGTACCGTCTTACCAACTACGTCACCGCTCCTTATTCAACTGATACAGCAAATATCAAGTACCACTTAAAAAGTGCCTGCTGCTTGAGAACTGCTTAGAAAAATGAAATGGAAACTTTATGGGCCAAATCTGTCTCGCCCTGATCAGATGACTAATTCCTCTAATTCCAAACGAATTGGTTGCATGAGAGAAGAAAATCTGGGCACATATCTAAAAATGTCCCTACCGCTACAATGAATCGGTTTTCTGTTTAAGATGCTTCCAGTATGAGCTCATTACGTTGCAAACTCCGCTTGCATGAAAGTGATCTGTAACAATCCTTAAGCCTGGGGCCCTTTCCCATTTGGTCTTGATACATAGGATGTAATCTGCATTTTCCATTCCGGCGTAAAACAGTACAACCAGTGTAGCTGCAATTCTGCTGTAAATCTGATGCAGGAAATACAACATAGTCCTTCGAAAATATTTCTATTGGCCTTAGACTGGCTGCAGAGCCTGTTTTGTATGGAAAAAAAAAGGCAAGGGGCGGGGGGGGGAGAATGACCCGCTGCAAAATTCAGTTTCTTCCGTGGTCAAGGACATCTATTTCATTATAGATGTAGTTCCGCCAAAACAAATATTATTTTTGAATCTTTCATTATCTTAGTCTCTGGAAATGGGCTAAACCAGCATGTGTTGGTATTAGCTGCCGCAGAGCCAGCTGTCGTGCCTGGCTGCACAGTGTCTCAATGTCAGCGGTTCAAAGCACTGCCAGCCCGAACGGGAGGGAACCGGGGCGCCCGCAGGAACCCCGATCCGGGGAGAAGCGCGGAGCTGTCCTCTGCCAGCGCCTCGGTCCTCCTCTCTTTGGTGGTTTTTCCCCACGGCGGCCGGCGACGGGTGCTGGGACTCCTGTCTTCCTTCCCACGGGCAGAGCGCAGCGGGGCCAGCCCCCCCGGCCTATTCTATACAGATATAGATAGACTTTTTTTTTTTTTTGGGGGGGGTGTTAATGAT